TTCGTGCTTTGTGAGCTGACATATCCCCATAAAGCCAGGGACTGGGGATGGGGGCGGGATCCCTGAAAGTTAAAAATCGGGGATGGGAGCGGGGGCAGGGCCCGAATATAAATATGTTATATATTTTTATTAAATATATTATTTATAAATAATTAGATTTAATATCTTTTAGATATATAAATAATATTTTTACATTTCTTTTTATATACATTTTTTGAGTTCTCTAACTTTTTTAAGATAAAAAATGTTGAAAGCAAAAGTGTTTGATCAAACAATTACATATGATGTTGTGATTTTGTTCACATATGAATATTTGATACGTTGTAAAAATAAATTTTGAAAATATGCGAGATTTAAACATGAACCGTTATTGATAGGGTGTGGTGTTTAATTAACATATTTGATTTAAACCCGATTTCTTGTTGGAGATCGTCGTTTCCTGTCGGGGACGAAGCTGGGGATATGATTATATTACCTGGTAATGTAGGGATAGGGACAAGAACGGGGATGGATATTGGGAACGGGGACAAGGACCGCCCCGATATAATGATATTGAGAAATTGTAAATATTCATGAACCAATATACGTTTTGAAGCACTTATTGCAACAAAATTAGGTTTACAGAACACTAAAAATTATATAAGTGTCAAAATAGACTGATTTATAGGATCAATGTGTGTGTTCTATCATAAGCACTGCAATAAGTTTATATGATGTTTTTGGACATCGTCTTAACAAACTTTTATGACACTTTAAAGTGTCATATGAGCATATATTTTTATAGGACATTTATTTTATGAACATTTTTTTGGTTTTATAGGACGCACAAAATGTCTAAATGTCTTGGTCCCAAAAATTATCTTGACGAGTCACTCTACAACAAAATTGGTTTTATAGGATACATGAAATGTCTAAATGTCCTAATAAAATAATTTATAGGACTTTAGTTTATATGATCGAACAAAAAGCGTCCTGCCTAAAAATGTTGCAATATGTTTATAGGACGTTTTTAGGCCTTTTAACAAGTCTTTTAGGACATCTTTAGAATAAAGTGTAATATTAGCTATTTTATAACATTATTTTAAAAAGTGTCATATAAACATAAGTCTCATATAAAAAGATGGACTTATAGATTCTTTTTAAAAATAGTTAATAGGACATTTTATATTAAAAGCGTCTTAAAAAGCTTGTTAAAACGCCTAAAACGTTCTATAAACCTATTACAACACTTTTAAATAGGACGATGCATAGTTTGGTCCTATAAACTTATGTTCTATAAAGTATTTTATTATAATGTTTAGACATTCTATATAGACGTCCTATTAAGCCGATTCTATTGTAGTTTCAACTCGATGAATTGAAGTGAAGTATTCTAGTAGTTGAAACTAAAAAGAATTTATGTTTTTGATCACAACATTTATGTCTGTTTGTTGGTTTGTGGGTGGTCATTATTTATTACGTATAATTTTTCAATGTTTGTATCACCCGTTAAATTGCAGGCACGACGATTATGATTCACTTCAACCATCATAAGTTCGGATCTTCATCAAAACACTTTTTAAGTCGTGTAAAATATTTTATAGACTTGTTGCAATGCAACACTTTTACATAAGACATGTGTTTGGTTTATAAGCTTAAATATTTAAACCAGTCTGTTAGGATATTTAGACACATTTGACGTCATATAAACTCGAGTTACTAATTTGGAGATTTCCATCTTTTCTCTATTTTTGCATAGACTTCAACGTAGTTGTTGGGACAAAAATAATCTCATAAACGCGTCTCCAATGTATTTTCTATAATTTCTTTAAAATAGAAACCAGATCTAAAAATTCTGAAAAAAAAAATTAAACTGATCTCCAATAGATTCTCTATTTTAAAGATTTTAACATTAATTATATTACTAAAATATTTTAACGTTTTAAGAAAACTTTATATAAAGTAATAATAATTTAATCTCGATTGTGGAAACAAATAGAATAAATTATTTTTCTCTTGTCACATCAAGTTTTAGAGGATTCTATAAACTTGGTTATTTTTTTTATTTTAAATGACAGTTTAGAGAATTTGTTGGAACAAAATAGATAACAAAAACCTGCATTTCCTCTGTTTTAAATAATCTTTTAGATATGTTTTAAATCTTCAAAATCTTTACTTTAGAATCGTTTGTTTTATAGAGCATCTCCAACTGATACTTTACATTTTTTTAAGAATAAAATATAAAAAGTCAAAATCTCTACAAAAAGATATTACATTTAACTTTAACGGTTACTATATATTTTAACAATTTTAACGTTGACTTTATTATTAAAATATTCAATATACTTAGTAAAATATTATTTATATCACCAAAAAATTTATTTTAAATGCCTCTTATAGGTAAGAAATTAAACATTAAAATATTATTTTTCTCCCTTTAATAAAGTTCTAATGATTATTTACAAATTTAGAGATTTTCACATACTTTATATTATTTTTTTGTTAAATATCTAAAATCTCTATTTTTAACATAGATGTAGAATAAGCTCTCAAAGAATATCTAACAGATTCTCTAAAAAATGGAGGTTTTTTTTTTCTATATTGATCCAGCAGATTCTTTATAATTTTCTTTAAAATAGAGAAAATATGAAAAAAAAAATTCCATGTTTAGAGAATTCTCTAAAATTTGATGTAACGAAAGGAAAATGATTATCTTAATCAATCCCACTAATTAGATTGAACTGTTATTATCTTACATAAACTTTTTTTAAAATGTACTGCTAATGATAAAATTAAATCGTTTTGATCAGTTGAATGTAAATTTTTTAAAAACTTTGACTTTTAATTTTTTATTTTAAAGAAATTATAAAAAAAATTATTGAGAGATGGTGTTATTTTTTTATTCTCAATAGGAACTGTTTGTCAGTTGCTGAATAATTTGGTGCAAAATGATTAAGTGGTCAAAATGATTAAGAGACTCATATGAAATAGTGCAAAATGAAATATAATTGTTTGATAACTGTTTACAATGAAATTAGGGTGTTGAATGGTTAAGGGAGATCCAATAACAAAATCATTCAGAGGGTTTTAAAACTATTAAAGGATAAACTTTTTTTTGTCAAACAAGATTTACCTCTTAACGATTCAGATATTGTATCTTATGAAACTATTAAAAGGTAAACAAACAACCAATTCATTCCTTATTTTTTAGTGAAATATAAGAGATATGTCTGGTTTGGTTAGTTTATTATTTTATCCTTTATTTATTTTTACCTTCTTTCTTTATCAATTCTAATTGTCTGTAAAGATGGATGATACATACACATGCATGAATCAGTGTTATGTAATGGCATTTAAGCAGAGGTAAAACTAGCAGCCAATGGCTTCAGTAGAACTAAATTCTCTACTCCAAAACTACACAAAGAACCAGTAAATTATGATATATGCAATCAATTAAAGGAGATAATTTTCCATTTACTTTGATCTTTCACCATACACACACATTTACACACAATGAGTGTGTGAGAGAGAGATGCAAAGTTTGAAACCAGCTTGCAACAAGTCCCTCTCTCTCCATAAATGCATTTGCATCCTCTCTATACACAGCATTTACTCCTCTCTATCTCCCCCTTCCCATCTCTTCAATTCTCCCACCTGTTCCTTTCCCTTCTCTCTCTCTCTCTCTCTCTCTCTCTCTCTCTCTCTCTTCATTCTCCTTAAATTCTAATCACAAGAAAGATACAGGTAGCTTCAATGGAAACCAGCCTGAAAACCACTCTTTTACTCTCTTAAAAGTGGTTTCCAGTTGACCTTTTTCCCTGAATACCGGATCTTTTTGGCACTAAAACCGGCAAAAACCAAGACAGAATATATATATATCAGTAAGTTACCATACCACCTTTAATTTCTCCACTTCATTGGGTTTTATATGTATGTGAAAGTAATAAGAATTTGGTGGTCTCGATCAAGATTTCTTCAACAAGTTACATATTCACTTGGGTCATGAATTTGCTTGGGAAAAAAGGTCTTCATTTGTTAATTACAAAGTCAAGAAAGTTATCAAGATTGTGTTTTTTTGTCTTCAAATTCAGTCATTCATCGAGTCTTTCTTACCAAAATGAAACCAGAAGCAAATCCCACCAAAAAAAAAAAATACTCTAGAGAGAGAAAGAGAGGTTAACGGTACGTTAGGGTTTCTGAATGTGTCTTAAACATGTATATCTTCTTGGATACCATGATACTTTTTATGACGTTGTTAAAATACAAACAAAAAACAAACGTTTTGAGGTTTGATTTCACTTCAAAACCAAGAGTTTCCCAGTGATCAGGTATGTGTTAAGGAACCACAGCCAAAAAGAAACAAAGACACATGTTCATCTGTCTTGAACTCAACTCCTTCATAGTTTCTCTCAGTTTCATCAAGATACACACACACACACACAACATATGTGTATATATATATATATATATATATATACACGCACACACACACATGGTCTGTGAAATCAAGTTTTGAGCCACACCCAGATCAGATTCAAGCAAAAAAAGTTGTGGGTTTGGAACCTTAATCGTTTCAAGAAACTCAACAGACAACAGGTATTGGTTAGGCCGATGACCATCAATGCTATCTTTCATCTTCATAGACATCAAGCGGTGGCTTATGAATGTTTTCTGAGTTCTGTTTTCAATTCTTTTGATCCTCAACCACTAACCATAAGCTGTTTTCTTGACTGGTATCAACATTTTATGCTTTAAAGTTGACTTTTGTTTTCAAAGAAGATAGAGGTTTGTTGACCTCCAATAAATTCATATTTATGTCTTTAATGTGTGCAAATTTCGATAATCCAATGCTCATTTTCCCATGTTTTCCCTTTCACTGATTTTTTTTAATGTTTAAATAAAATTCTAAAATTAATTTAAATATGTTCACAATTAATTTTCCATACTACACCCAAAATAGTGTTACTAATACAAGACAAAATTGGCATTCTATGGTCAGGAGTGTGAAGAGTTGAAGAAAAATGTTTCAACCCAACATGTTTGAGAGCCACCATCATCATCTCCTTGATATGAGTCACAAAACCCCAGAAAATGAGCTTGACATGCTTAGAGATGATGAGTATGAGAGCAAATCCGGGACCGATATCATGGAAGCTCCCTCCGGCGACGAACAAGATCCGAATCAACGTCCCAACAAGAAGAAACGTTACCATCGCCATACTCAACATCAAATCCAAGAACTGGAGTCGTAAGTTGATAAGATCAAACCCGTCCTTAATTGGTATGGTTTTAATTGGTTTCTACACACATATAATTGATTTCGATTTGAATGTAGGTTTTTCAAAGAATGCCCACATCCAGATGATAAACAAAGGAAAGAACTTGGAAGAAGATTGACTTTAGAGCCTTTGCAAGTCAAGTTTTGGTTCCAAAACAAAAGAACTCAAATGAAGGTACTTTAATTGCACACTTATATAAAAACACACATTTCTAATAAAGAAAGCCATCTCGAGTGCACGAAATGCTACTCGATTTTGTAAAGTTTGAGAAAGGTAGGCATCATACTTGCATATTCTTGTTGTACCCTTTGTAGATTTACTATAATTTCTAAGGGAAATGAACTTATCTAGTTAGCTGCTCAACTTGTGTCGTTTGTCTTGTTAATTTAGGCTCAGCATGAACGCCACGAAAACTCGCAGCTGAGGAACGAGAATGAAAAGCTTCGAATGGAGAACATACGATACAAAGAAGCCCTTGCCAACGCTACATGTCCCAACTGTGGCGGTCCTGCAGCCATTGGGGAGATGTCATTCGATGAACAGCATCTGAGAATTGAAAATGCTCGTCTACGTGAAGAAGTAATTTAATCAAAACCCTAAATACACAATTAGATCTTCTTTAATTTTCAGTTCTACTTACTTAAACGAGTAATTAACTTTTGGTAATCATTCTTTACTTTTGAAACTGCCAAAAACTATCATAATTTGCAAAAAGAATGAGTGATTTTGGACATTATTTTAACATAAAAATGCAAAAGAATCCACATATCTGACATTTTTAAATCTAAAATCGATCATTTCCTTGCATTTTGGCAAAAATAGTTCTCTTTTTGCTATATGTCCAAGTAAAATGGTCTGAAAGGTACTGACCACTCCTTTAAAACTAGATTTGCATCAAACAGATTGATAGGAATCAAGAACTGGAATCATAACCCTAAAATGTTTTATTCTTTTGTTAAATTTTGTTACTTGGTTACAAGTCTGATTTCTAAAACTTGATCTGCTTAATTTGTGCATTCAACAGATTGATAGGATATCTGGAATTGCTGCAAAATATGTTGGCAAACCAATGCTAAGTTATCCTAATCTATCTCCTAATGGACCGCCTCGGTCTCTTGATCTACCAATTGCTAGTTTTAGTCCACAACCAGCAATGGTAGATGACATGTTTGGAACCAGCAACCTTCTCCGGTCAGTTTCAGGCCCCAGTGAGGCAGACAAGCCAGTTATAATTGAACTAGCGGTTGCAGCCATGGAGGAACTAGTCAGAATGGCACAGTCTGGTGAACCTTTGTGGGTTCCAAACTCTGATAACTCATGTGAGATCTTGAATGAAGACGATTACCTGCAAACGTTTCCAAGAGGCATTGGACCAAAACAGCTGGGAATGAAATCTGAAGCTTCAAGAGAATCTGCTGTTGTCATCATGAATCATATCAATCTTGTTGAGATTCTCATGGACGTGGTATGGAATGCTCTTTGTTTTAGTTGAAATCTCCATTAATTTGAAATTCTGTGATTATAAACCCTAAATTAATCTAATCCTGATCTTGTAGAATCAATGGTCAAATGTGTTTTCTGGGATTGTTTCAAGAGCAATGACTCTAGAAGTGCTTTCAACTGGAGTGGCTGGAAACTACAATGGAGCTCTTCAAGTGGTAAGCACAGTTTACTGGCTTAATTTTATATTTGTTAGGATGGCCATATATTCCTAACATCATATCGTGACACCTATACATAAAAGCCGATTTTGTTGTAATGTATGCCTATATAGTTAACATTAGTTATATATACATATCTGTGTATTTCTGACATTACCGTTTTTCAGATGACAACGGAGTATCAGGTTCCTTCGCCACTCGTTCCAACCCGAGAATACTATTTCGTGAGGTACTGTAAGCAACACACGGACGGGACGTGGGCGGTGGTCGATGTATCCTTGGATAACTTACGCCCTTCTTCAATGTCAAGATCTCGAAGAAGGCCATCTGGATGTTTAATTCAAGAACTGCCCAACGGGTACTCAAAGGTGAAAACTAGAAATTGCTTCATGTTCTAAGCTTTATTAGTTTATGCGAACAAGAAAAACATCCCAAATCGAAAGCATTAGTCTAGGATTAAGGATTCATGTTATACTTTCGTTTTCTAGGTTACATGGGTTGAACATGTTGAAGTTGATGATAGAGCCGTTCACGATATTTATCGGTTACTGGTGAACTCTGGTCTAGCATTTGGGGCAAGAAGATGGGTAGCAACTCTCGATAGACAATGCGAACGACTTGCAAGCGCAATGGCTAACAATATTCCTGCGGGAGACGTTGGAGGTAATACGATTAATTACTCCCTCTGTCACAAACTAAATATCGACAATAGAAAAAGACATACAACTTTATAAATGTGTAATTATTACACTTTTCAATCAACTAAATAACAATTTTACCCTTAATTATGCAGGGAGTAATGAATTTCTTACTACAACAAAATTGGGTTTATAGGACGCCCTTCAAACTCTAAGCGTCCCAATAGCTTTATAGGACTTAATTTATAGGACCAAAATATAAAGAGTCATATCTAAAGGTGTTGTAATAAGTTTATATGACGTTTTTTGACGTCTTAACAAGTTTTTGAGGACATTTTTAATACAAAATGTCGCATTATCAACTTTATATGACACTTTTGAGAAAGTGTCCTATATAAACTCAATTTTTTAATGAACATTTGTTTTTATAGGACAATTATTCAAATAGTGTCTTATAAAGTTGCTAATGGGACGCTTTATATTAAAAGTGTCCTAGAAAACTTATTTAAAAAGGTAATATAAACTTACTACAACGCCTTTTAGATAGGACATTTTATTTTTTTGGTTCTATAAACTAAGTCCTATAAAAAGGTTTATTATGACACTTAAAATTTGAGAGTGTCCTATAAACCCGATTTTGTTGTAGTGTCTTCATTCAATAATTAAGGGGTAGAATTGGAAAAGTAGCTACGTACTTATTTTTAAAAGTTGACATTTATTTCGGAACAAACTAAAATAGAAATATGAAGTTGTGGACACTTAGGCGGTGTTTGGAGTTGTTTATAAAAACAACTTATTGACTTATTCCGGTGTGGCATCGCTAATAAGCACTTTTGAGTGTTTGGATAAAAGTGTCAAACCGGTAATAAAGAGTTTTTGAAGAAATTAAACTCTTCTGACTTATAATAAGTTGATAAGTGATTTTGTAGAAAAGCATAAATTGTTTCAAATAAGCAACCCCAAACACCCTTTTGGGATAGAAAGAGAGATACTTAATTTCTAGTTTGTAAATTTTCTTTCCTAGGATTCAAGTTAACATATGTAGTGTACTAAAACATTTGTTTGATCGATGATTGTGATTATATATAACGATGCTGGATGACAGTTATAACGACTCTAGAAGGACGAAAGAGCATGTTGAAGTTGGCTGAGAGAATGGTTCTGAGTTTCTGTAGCGGAGTTGGAGCTTCGACTACACATACGTGGACTACTTTGTCTGGTAGTGGAGCGGATGATGTTCGTGTAATGACAAGAAAGAGCGTGGACGATCCGGGCAGACCTCCTGGTATCGTGCTCAGTGCTGCTACTTCGTTTTGGATCCCCGTTCCACCGAAACGAGTTTTTGATTTTCTTCGCGATGAGAACTCGAGGAGCGAGGTAACAAAGTCTTCACAACCATCTAATACAAATCTAAAACCATATAACGTAAAAATCAATATATTAGTCGCTTATTTGTGACAAAATTCACTACAAAATCGAGTCTATTAGATTGTATATTTAGACATTTTTGGCGTCCTATAAGTTGATTCAGTTGTGGTTATTTGTGTTCGTAACGTATTTTGGCCTTTGATTATTACACATCCACGGCCAAGTCGATCATTTCCGAGAACTTCTAATGACCCATATTCATCGACTATGTGTCACGTATTATATATGCAGTGGGACATTCTTTCTAATGGTGGTCTAGTTCAAGAAATGGCACACATTGCCAACGGTCGGGATCCAGGAAACTGCGTGTCGCTTTTACGAGTTAACGTAAGCTTTTAAATGCATTTGACAACAAAATTTTTCCGAATCTAACACCTATAATCAATTCACATGTATGACCATTTTTTCCGACTTGTACCCAATTTTAGAGTGCAAATTCGAGCCAAGGAAACATGCTCATTCTACAGGAGAGCTCAAACGATTCCACGGGTTCATATGTCATATATGCCCCGGTAGATATCGCAGCAATGAATGTGGTGTTAAGTGGTGGTGATCCTGATTATGTCGCCTTACTACCATCGGGTTTCGCTATACTTCCTGATGGGCCAGGAAAACAACAAGGATCAACAATTCTAGAGGTCGGAAATGGTGGATCCTTACTGACAGTTGCATTTCAGATTCTAGTCGATTCAGCTCCCACCGCAAAACTGTCACTCGGGTCGGTCGCCACCGTCAATAGTCTTATAAAGTGCACTGTTGAAAGGATCAAAGCCGCGGTGGCTCCCGAGCTGTAACCTCGTCTTCGTTATATATGGTAAGACATTCGACATATTCTTTTATTCAGAAAAAATACACAACGAAATGGGACTTTGCCAACGGTCCAAATACCGTGCTTAATGAGATTTTATGTCTATAAGATTATGAACTATGTGTCTTATCTATAGCGTTTCGTAAGTTGTTTCTAAAAGTTGACGACTTAATAACTATCTACGAGGTTGGGCAACCAATTAAATATACAGGACACGAAAAGTAAATCGTCTTATTAATTAGCATTTTTATATAAGACGTTTCTCAAAGTGTTTCGTGATAAGACTAATACAATGCGTATAGTTTGTGTGTTTTGTAGCGTAAAATCCTGGGGAGGAGATGAAGGAGGAGTTAGGCGGGCGACGTTTACTCTTTATCATTAGAAACTAAAGGAAGAAGTCAAGAACGAACCTAAAACGATCCTTTGGAGAGTGGTGGCAACGTCAAGAATTCATTTTTCACCATGCATCCGTCGCAGGTTACATATAGGTTCGGGTATTGACTTTGCCTAGATTATCGAAGATTATCGAGTAAGCTTCAGACCTTATCGAGTGATATTTTAGTTAAAACTCGTAAAAACTTTCGTTAGATTTACGGTTTTTGAGTTGGTTTGTATGTGTTTTGAAGTGTAGTTTTAGAATGCTTAGTCCTTGTAGAAACTTGCTCCTAACAAACACTTGGTCTCCATCTCCCTTTCTAAATCTTGTTTTGGTTCATTAGAAATGCTATTTACTCTACCCAAAAAAGTATATTGAAGTAGTGGCCGCGCGTGCGTATGGTACGTACGACGGGGCATGCCAATCGTTTCTTAACGTTTGGTGCGATATTATTGGGTTTTGTTTGGTTGGTTTTTCATTAAGTATTGTATGGATAAAGTTATGTGTGTGTATTAATATATCTATATAGATTTAGAAAGAAAAAAAAATTGTTTGGGAAAGTTTTTTCATAGATGGAAGGAGCTAGTTTCTTATTGGGAGAGGCAGGTTCGGAAAAAACTTGACATTCTGCATAAAACTCTTTTAGAAGCTTATTGAACAAGTCTTTTTTCATATCATTAAGCCACTACCAAACATTCAAAATATATAGCTGACCAAATAAGTTGTAAATCTTGTTAAGCTGCTAAAATTAGCGCAGAATAGGATCTGTCGAAACAAAAATGCATTTTTTGTCTTTAGGATAAAAGTGGAACAAGAATAGGAAGACAAGACTAGTAAATTACTAAGTACCTATGCATAATTAAACCCTAGAACCTGCACAATTCGTTTATTTGCCCCTGCAATATATACTCTGACCAGTTCAGTCTCGTCCACTCCAGTTCCGTTTGTATACCAAATGTGGTCTTTCACAAGTCACAACTGGTTCTAGTTGTAAGTGATTCATGTGCTTAACCGCACCTTAAAAACATATCGGTGTAACTAACAGGTTATGATCGTGTAATTCTTCCAAAGTCGCGTGGGTTGATTGGGATCTAGCTCTCCGTTCGTTTGCGTTGGGAGGTCTCAATATTGGAAGTTTTTGGGCATCCAACTTGGGATTCTTAGGTAAATGGTGGTGGCGGTTTCGTGTAGGTGGCGGCCCATTGTGGATTCGTGTTATTAAGAGTTTGTATGGTGCTGACGGGGTCTAGATGGCTTTTCGAGTGGGTGAACGTGGGGTAGCATAGTTCGTGCGGGAAAAGTTTTTAGATAATACTAGTATTTATTTTAGTTCCTCTTTCGGGAAAAAGTAGGTAATGGTCTTTTAACGTCTTTTTGGATGGTTAGATGATTTTCGTCTTTGCGATAAATTCCCACAGTTGTTTAGGGCTTGAAAGTCGAAAAGAGGTCGTGATTAGAAATCGTATTTTTTGGAGTGATGGGGTTTGGAGGTGATACGAGGGGAGTGGAGGGATTTGGAGGAGCTCATTCGGAGTGTTAGCCCCTTTTATGATCAGAGCGACCGCTATATTTGGTGGCTTAATGATCGGGATTTAGCCGTGAGATACATTTAAGGTATTATGCCTACTGGCTGGAGCAAGCTCGATCGTTCCCTCCAAAATATGTATCTTCATTTGGCGGTTAAAGCTTGGGAGAATTTAGGTTCGGCAATCAGATGGGGATTGAACTTTACTCGGTCCTTTGCCCTCCATGTGATAGCATCATCGAATAGAGGGAACATTGCACTTTGCGGCTTGCTCGCTGATATCGGTGTTGTGGGGCAGAATTTTGAAGTGGTGGGACCTCGCCCCTTGGGATATTACTCAATTTTGAGGGTCGAGAATGTTACAAGATAAAGTAAGTGAGAGTGATGTTTCTTACCGGTAAACACTTAGGGTGTGTTTACTTGAGTCTTAATGAGCTTACTGGATAAATTGGCTTATTCGGACAGACAAAATAGTATGTTTACCTCGGTCTTATTCGCTCAGAAATGGGCTTATTCGCTCAGAAATGGGCTTATTCGCCCAGATCAAAAACATGAGTTGTCCATATTAAGCCAAGAAAAAGACTCTCCCTACCCTTATTCGCCCAGATAAAAAACATCGATCCACGCTCTCTTCTCCATCCAAAGAACCCTAATCGGATGATGCTCTTTCTTCATCGATCGACGCTCTCTTCTCCATCCAAAGAACCCTAATCGGATAATGCTCTTTCTTCATCGATCGACGCTCTCTTCTCCATCCAAAGAACCCTAATCGGACGACGCTCTATTCTCCATCGACAGTCGACGCCCTCTTCTCCTCCAAAGAGCCCTAATCGGCCGATTGCTCTCTTCTTCTCCATCGACAGTCGACGCTGTCTTCTTCTCCATCAACAGTCGACGCTGTCTTCTTCTCCATCGACARCCGATTGCTCTCCAGTTCCATATCGATTTCATGATTGTTTGATTTCTGTTTGCTTGTGTTTGCTGCTACCCTAGCTGCTTTTTATCGATTTCATGTTTGTTTGATTTTTGTTTGCTTGTCTTTGCTGCTAGAAAGAAACCCTAGCCGAGCCATGAAAGTTGTTTATTTTGTCATTTGTTTATTCTGTTTTATTCTCAGGGGTAAATTGGTCATTTTTGTTATTCAGACTGATGATTCAGATAGAAAAGTAAACATCAACATAAATTTATCCAAACAGACAAATTTATCCAGACAGACAAATTTATCCATACAGGACTTAATAGAAAATTTGGTAAACAGCCCCTTATTCGGTAATCGTTAAAATCACATCGTTACTTCCACCAAACATTGTATTTCTTAATCATTAAGACGAGAAATCATGCTTTGAAAATATTCTGATTTGTGTAAATACATCATCAATTAAAACCAAAATGACAAAATTATTCAGAAAAAATGGTACACCGGTCTCTTGATCATTCAAGCTTCGAATAATCGTAACCAGTCGGGTTTTTAATAACCGGATTCCGACTCGGACCTTTGGTAGACCGTCATGGGCTGGTTCGGGCTTTAGACCCTCTTCCCACCTCTATATTGAAGCATACAAAACATGCGAAAATGTAAACGTTTTTTACAAATTATACACTACAATAAAATTGGATTTATAGGACGTCAATAGCATTTTATGTGTCTTAATAGAGTGCTTTATAGAATATAATTAAGATTATAGGACCAAATAATAAAATGTCATATAAGCGTTACAATAAATTAATTTATAGGATGCTTTTGGATGTCGTAACAAGTTTTTGAGAACTTTTTGTTAACATAAAGGATCGTTTTAGTAGTTCTATAGAACACTTTTGATATGACACTTTTTCAACTAGTGTCTTATAAAATAGATAATACGACACTTTAATTTTTTTTTAAGTCTTAAAAATTTTGTTACCAATAAGGAATGATTTTGTGATGTATTGTTCTATTTAATTGTAATTATCAAGGCCTAAATTAGATGATCTTGATGTATTTATCCTCTTAGTAAACTTTTATAGGATTTGGTTCATGTGAGACAAGGCTGTTTTCGTGAGACACGATTTTTACACTTGAAACTTCACAACAAAATGTTGTGAAGGTAAAAAAAAAAAAGTCAAATCTTCACAGCAAAGACACTGTGAAGGTTACCTTTACAGTGTTTTGCTGTAAAGTTTCAAGTGGAAAAATCGTGTTTTACGAAAACAGTTTTGTCTCACATGATCTATATATACAAAAGCTATTCCAATCACCCAAGTCACAATGATTGACAGAATATCATAGTTACGACGTCCAAAAAATGTTATATAAACTTATTACAACACTTTTAGATATAACATTTTATATTTTAAGCCTATAAATTTAAGTTCTATTAGGATATTTAAACACTCACTACAACAAAATTGGGTTTATAGGACAATCCTAATTTTTAAGCGTCCTAATAGACCTATTTATAGGACTTAATTTATAGGACCAAAAAAATAAAGTGTTCTATTTAAAGGCGTTGTAATAAGTTTATATGACATTTTTTGACGCCGTAATAAGTTTTTTAGGACACTTTTAATATAAAACATCATATTAGCAACTTTATAGTACACTAATTGAAAAATTGTCGTATAAAAATAAGTGTCCTATAAAAAATGAGTTATAGGACACTTTCTCAAAAGTGTCATATAAAGTTGTTAATGCGACACTTTGTATTAAAATTGTCTTAAAAAACTTGTTAAGACGTCAAAAAGCGTCATATAAACTGACGTCAAAAAGCGTCATATAAACTTATTACAACACTTTTAGATATGATGTTTTATATTTTGGTCTTATAAATTAAGTCCTATAAAACGATCTATTGGGACACTTAGAGATTGAGGGTGTCCTATAAACTCAATTTTGTTGTAATGTACTTAAAATTACTTCAAAGATTTAACATGGTTTCACTGTCATGATCAGATAGTGCACATCCACATATGGCCGGAGAGACGGAGCCTTTTATATTAATAATCAAACAGAGGAACAACTACAAATAGTTTTCGTCTATCAGTGATGCAAGAAATCACAATCTCTAAACTTGAAATACGACACCCATAATCATAAAAACGTTGATGGGAAAGAAGACGAACAAGAACGTCACTACTTAAATGAATCAAACCCTAGGTCATATTTAACCCACGTATGCGACCAACGTAGGGTCGCTTGCTTTTTTCCAACATCGCTTTCCTCACACCATCACACATCAAGGTATCAAACGATGTACCGTAAGTTTGAGGGATCTTGCATCCGATGAGACCTGCAAACATGAAACATGACCGTGGCCGCGACCCTGACACTTGTCGTGGATGTATTAAACCTCTAAGCGTGGTATTAAACATGTACCTAAATAGTTCGACTAGATTTATTGCTACAATTGTATGGAAATGCTTTATTACAAAATGTACATTTTATAATCCCATTATGTTTAGTTTGATGGTAACAAACCAACCCTAACATTATTTTATATACTAATTAATAAACTAATATTTACAATTCATAGGAAACATAACTTTTTGTGGCCACGGAGGTTCAAATGTGGTGACTCTGGACTACCCGCGAAACAAGTGATCGTTCTGAGATTAGTCATCTCGCATAACGGGTTGGATATCCAGGTTAATAAAAAAACATAACTTTTGTATCCATCATTATTAGTCATGCATGAAAGGTTTTGGTCATGACAAATATTATGCAAGAAAGATTCTTCCGGTACAACAAAATCGTGTTTATATAAGATGTCAAAAATGTACAAGTGACTTAATAGACCGTTTTATGCAATTTAGGTTTATAGAACCAAACAATTATGCGTATTACAACGTATTTAAAACGCTCAAAAACGTCCTATAAACTTATTTAAAGTGTCTTACAAAACTTGTTAAAACGCTCAAAAACGTCCTATAAACTTATTACAACGTTGTTGTAATGAATGTACAATTGTTTAGTTCTATAATTCGTCTATTATGGCCCTTGCATATTTTCGGCATCTTATAGACCTAATTTTCTTGTAGTGTTTAAGAGTGTTCCAATGTGAGATATGAAATCGTAATAAAGTGTTTTATACGACTTAAGTTTATAGGACTAAACCATAAAGCATCGTATCTAAAAGTGTTACCATAGATTTGTATAATAGGATGTTTTCTGAGTGTTTTAACAACTTTTTTAAATATTTTTAAACTAAAGTGTCATGTTAGCTATCTGATAGCTATTTTTTTTTTCCCTAAATAATGTCTTATAAAATGGCTAACATGACACTTTTATTTTTAAAATGTCCTGAAAACTTGTAAAAAAGTCCCTAAAATGTCCTATAAACTTATTGTAACAGTTTTAGATAAAACGTTTTATGATTTTGTCCTATAAAACACTTTATTATGACAAAACCATTTAAATTAAAGAATAACATGTTTTGGACATATGTCGTTTACCAAATGCTTACCCGGATAAGCGCTTACCAAGTCACATTACCTTACAAGATGAATATGACAAAGACTAAGAATCTTACCCAGTAAGTGCTGAAGCAAGAACCAAGTAAATTGTTTGGTAAGTGATGACGACGACTTTTACCATGGTTAGCGTTTGCCGGATAAAATTTTAAATAGTGTCGTATAAAATAAATAACATAGACACTTTATCTTAAAAACGTTCTAAAAAAACTTGCTAAAACGTCCAAAAGTGTCATATAAACCTATTGTAATAGTTTTAGATAGAATAATTTTTTCATTGGTCCTGCAAATTTAAGTCATGTATAACATTTGACTGTGACACTTAGACATTTTAGACGTCCTATAAACGTAATATTGTTGTAATCTGAATTGTAACAATGTTAACATTTACAAATGGACAACTATGTGACAATGATATCTATGATAACATTGTAGTCATTACTAGAAAACAAAGCATTATCGACGGGCATTATCGACGACAGTCGACCACTAAATTAGATGTAACTTTTTGTTAAAATTGTTGAAAAATTACCGATTGTCTTGCGTCGATAAACCATCTCTAACACAAGTAAACTAAAACCGTCGGAATAAATCGACAATTGAAGCATCTAAGGCTGCATGAATCGGGAATACACGACGGAAAATTGGTTACGTCAGTAAAGAAACCCCACAAAAAACCGTTGTGTCGGTTATGCCTCGATAAGTTGTCAGTAAAGAGTGGCTCCAAAATTTTCTTATGTAAAATATCCATGATTTTTGACGCTTTACTGAAAATAGAATCGTCGGCAAGTAAAAAACCGTCGATTAGTTTTTACTGACCCATTTTTCCCCATCATTTGTTTCTGTCGAAAATCCCTAATTTCGACAACCAACTGCCAGTCATCATTGATACTCAACTTTTTTGTACAAAAATAATAAAAAAAATGTAGTTACGATATTTATTTTTTATTAACCTGGATATTCAACCCGCTATATGAGCCAACTAATCCTAGGGCGACCACCTGCTTAGCGAGTAGCTCGGAATCATCGTATTTGGACTTCCGTTGCCACAAGGGGATTCTTATTCCTCCTTGGATTTGAACCTGAAATCTCCAAACACTTTTAACCTTTGGAGCTCAAGCTCCCAACCTTCAGGCACCACCCTTTTAATTGATAACGCTACTTTGTGACATAGAAGATCTAACAAGATAACTTGAGTTTATTTGAAATTTTGAGAAACAACGAGCTTCTGAATGATAATCGAAATAATTAAGTTTGAAAACCGTATTTATGATACCTGTAAAATTGGTAACTAAGTCTATGTTTCCCATAAATCTATAAATGGAGTCTCAACAAAAAGAAGTGTTGAAACTCATCAACATGTATTTATTTGGTCCATTGGCAATTCAAATCTATACTTGATTAATAATATAGAAAGTGGTTTATTCAGTAAGCTTTTGCAAGAGAGCTTTATGCATAAAGCTAAGTTTTTTTCCAAATGTTTTTCTCGATTAAAAACACAATCTTTTCACTTATGAAAAAGAAAACTTCCACCTTTAGACATTAATCCACACAGACAACTTTATATACAAAACTTAATGGAAAACCATCTAAACAACCTCTAAGATTCTTTCAAACAATTCAAGCTTCTTTCCCTCATTCAAACTTGTAACAAGTTGGTATCAAGTACTAATGATCCCATAAAGAACCTAAAACTTGCTTAAGCAGTTTATCGTTTCTACAGGATTATCTTCCCTCCGCGTTAAATGGAGAGTCGATAAATGCTACAGATTCTGCAGTTTGGGAATTTACCATGCTGTTGTATGTGAAACCATTGTTCAATGGAGCCATTGTGTGAATGTACAGTTTTGCCCTTCCCTTCTTCCTATAAGTTGTTCACACAATTTGATTTAAGCAGACAGCCACCTGCACCAAGTATAAGAATATGACAAAGTTTCAAGCTGAAAGCAACATCTAGCCCATTGTTATGATTACAATGGATACCAGCAAGTTAGGCTATAAAAGGAAATGGAGTTGTGAACTTCAAATATGCTACTTATGAATCTTAATAACAGATTTTGTGGCATTCTTGTGTTAGGAAGAGACATTTTTCTGTTGAGCAGAGGCATTATTAAATCCGTCATAAAATCATGCATTTAAAAAAAAATCTTTCAGAAGGTTATTCTCCTAAATAACCCTGACCGCTGTCCACTCCTATTATACGGAAAAAGGTTAAAACTGGGACAAGAAAGTTAGAAGTTAGATAAGAACGAACCTCATTCATCCCGTGAAGAAGTACCTACCCAACAAAGCTCCGTTAGTCACCCGTCACTCCATAAGGAAGAAGCACAGAACCCAAATCCTAAACTGTGTTATTGAGTCCACCAAGGATCTCCAGCCTCATACAAGTGCTCGCCTTCATCCCATGAAATTTGACAAGCTTGAAGACCAATAGCCACACCAGGTTCCTTCCCATGCTTTGCAGCCCAGTCTTCAATGGCACATTCTCTATCAGCCTCGCTTTTAAATTGCTTCTTGTACTTCCCGAAAGGGTTTACCTCAGGACTGGCTAGCTCTAGAATTGCAGCTGGAGTATACATCGAGTCACCCACTATTGGTGCACCACAGGCTGCCAGTTGAGCTCGAATCTGTAGAGTGTGAATGTTGTAAAATAAAATGTGTTATTTGGTATAATCGATACACACAAAAAAAAGCCGTCAGAAGGAAATTAAAAGATCAAAACGAAGATTCGGCAATGCTCCTACAGCCTTTGCTATGATACTTGTCATCGCTGGTGAAATTTCGTAACACATCTAAAGAAAAAGGCTAACAAAATTTATAAGCAAAAATTCAGACATAAAACCAATAAGGCAAGAAAATTGTCATACTTAACCATCTAAATTGTCGTTTTGTAAGCAAAATTGCATTCCAGTGTACGATCTAAAGCAGACTCCATATCCAGCAGTATTCACTATGCGATGCAGACAGATTAAAAAAGAACAAAATTTTCCCTCCATCGGAAAGTAAATGCAACATTTGACCAGGTACATAGTTTAACGAAAATATTGGACAAGTATTCAAATATCTAAATGTCCCTAAATAGGAATCTAGCATAACCAAAGAAATGCTATCAATATTTTATGACAACTATTAACAGGCAAAGAGGACTGTTCGATGAAATTTTGCAAAAAAGAGAGATGTTGCATTCATTGGGATTCCCTAAAGGGAAACCGTTGCTATTATTCAGTGGCACATGGGGAGTATCATCCATGTTTACTACAATCAACGGAATTTGAGAATTCACTGTTAATTTGCAGATAGAAATCTCCCTCCCAGTAAAGTTGTAACCTTTGACTAGGCATATAATTCAATGAAAGTATCTGATTATGATCGAATATCTAAAATACCATTGGATGATGACAAAATAGGGAAGACATGTAACTTCAGCTTGAAATGTTGTGAAAATGATGGGGAAACAGACTTTTTCTTCAATTCAAGGGGAGTCTTTGAACCTATTATTGTAATTTTCATGGGACATGAATTTGTAAGAATATTAAAATATTCAATATGAGGAGTAACATGTAACCATATCCTTAACAAAGAAGTACCACCGAATGGGAAGCATATTTCATATAGAAAACGTTCCCTGACCATATCCTTAACAAAGCATCGGAAAATGAAAAAAGAAGCCATTGAGATCCATCTTGTACCTGGTGAGTACGGCCGGTCAAGAGGTTGATTTTGCACTCGTATGCAAACTCTTTACTAGGCCAATTAAAATCCTCAATTCCAAACTTCTTTTCAATTAAAGCATTTGGCCACGGAACTTTCCTGCATTCTAAAACCTCAAGTTGGCACAAGTTCCACCCCTTGATGAAGTCTGCATGTTGGAAGGATAGGTGCACATGTTTATCATGTGAATTATACTGAAGTCAAGCAAGTATACAATTTAAGAAATTTAACATCCAAATTGCACCCACCATATTAAAACATTAGTACATTTAGGTTCTGCATGCTGATTAGAGATAAAACTACAGTAATTTTTAACGATCCCACAGTTTTCTTGCAATTTAAACCCTCTTTAACAGATGGATGGATATTTGGCATGCACTATCATCATAGCAAAAGCTCTCATGTTCATTAGTTGCTGCTAGATTGAACACACAAGGGATAGAAAGGTAGTTATGCGTACTTAAGGAAAATTGTTATATGACTGTTTCTAGTTCATACAAGTGACCTACATTATGGAAAAATCAAGGCATCAATTAGCAACAACAACAAAATCCATGTACAGTGCAGAAACCGGTTTTAAGCAATCATTTTCATGCCCAATAAAATGCAAAAGGATTTTTTAATTTGAAACGACAAGACTTGGTTTTCTGATCTTCAAGTAAAGATTCTCAAAATTTTATAAACTGATTTCAAGCCTCTTTAAGCACATATTTTCTCTATTTGCTTGTATTGAATATCAATTTATAAAAAGAGATGCCAAATGCATTTATATTAAAGCAAAAGACAGAAACTACAACAATGTTTAGATTACAAATTTTAATCACTAAAAACAGAAAATTAACAATTGTCAAAAAGACCTAAGAAATTCTGAAGTGACTTAAACGTTTTGGAACAGAGGGAGTGGTAAGTTTTAGCCTTCCATAGAAGAGGTAAAGAACAAGGATATGCAATTATCTCACTTGCAACGCTATGAAATTATGCACATGATCTTAGCAAGAGTAATACAGAACCTATCGTAAGTAGAAGGAAATAGCAGTTGTTACCTTTTGAAACAACTTTTGGAGCCATACGAAATGGTCGCATGTAATGGGTCATGACTCCACATGGCACATAAGCAGCAGCAAGTGCGAGATAAAGCTTCTTCACTTGTTTCTCCTGGTTGGGAAAATACAAAATCATCATAATGTAGAAGCCTATTAAAAAGTAGATCCAATACCATTAACTTACCCTGATCTTTCTATGGAAAACTGAACAATAGTCCTTAGTTCTAGCTAGCACAACACTGCAAAACAAGATGAAATTAGTCTGTCTTCTCATTAAAACAAAAAAATTATGAATAGCCAATGATTTGTTCGAAACTTCAGATAATACCAGCCTTCTGTGCAGTTATCAATCTGATGAGTTGTCATTAACGGAGTAGTTAATTCCAAGGCACGAGTAGCAAAAGTTGCACAAGTTTCTTCAATGTTGTCGGTTGTTCCACCTACCTAAGAAAAAGGTGTAGTGAGTGACACAGTAAAGAGTAATTCTGATATTATACCAGTTAACTCCATGCTCCATTATGTGAGTCCCATCTTGTTTATCATCACATAAAGTAAATGGGATCCAAAATTACATTTTCAATTGTTCCTCAAACCATGTAAATAAGACCAAATAAATGAAAATGGTAAATGGCAAAAGCAAATGAAACAAAAATGAACTAAAATCAGACGTGGCTTTAATGCATGAATATATCATCAAACAAGCATAAATTTTGGTTTTACCAGAAAAATTAGCATGAGGTTGCTGTAAAAATTTGGGCATCCTGGTGAAAGTTGATCAATATGTTTCTATCAGCAAGGAGTAAAAAACCAGGTAGACATTTTCACAAGACAAGACAAAGGGCGCGTTTGGTACATGGGACACCATGGGACAAAAAAGTTCTCTCGTTTGGAAAGCAATAAACCTGGGACAGGATGAAACTAGCTGGGGCAATTTTGTGATCTTTTTATCCCACCAAAAACTCAGTAACAAGATGGGACAAGAAACCAAAGACAATTCTACCCTAAAATAACCCTTTTTTTCTTCTAATCATAGTGTATTTATATTAAGAAATGTATGATACATATAATATTATATATATATATATATATTTGATACATATACATATATATATATATATAATTTAAATGTATAATTACATATGTTTTAAAAATTATATATAAAATTTTTAATAAAATTGTATAAATATTTACTTGACATGTCTTATTTACCATTATTATATGGTAAAATAACATTAAATTCTTTAGCCACAATCTGGTGATTTCAACATTTTGTCTCGTCCACTTCTAGTACCAGTCTTACTAAATACTATAGAGACAACTAGTAGGCAAAGGGAACAAATGATTCATGTACTGATGTGCCAGCAGGCTTGTTGAGAACTACATAGGATTCCGTCACAGCAATTATTCTGGATCTCCAGTCAATCTCATAGCACCTGGTGAAGAATAAATGCATCAATATGATCAGAATTGTCAACAAGCAACATTGTATTGTTTCACATATGCTCTTTGCTCCAAATAAAATCCCAGTTTGCTTAAGAGTTTCTCCCCCGTATCCCCATAGAAGAAAATGAACTGTATACTCTTCAGCTCTCATCTTATCATAAGTTTCTACATCGTTGGGGTTCATTACCCAAAAGATCTACCTACTTCTGCAATTTGCCAACATGACAAACCATGTTTTTAACCAACTTTATATTAGATTAATCAAAGAATAATATGATACCATGACGCACGCATGTCATGTCAACTATTTATACAAAAATACGAAAGTTTTTTGTATTTTTCAAGGTTATGTAGTATTTCAAGTTTAAAGAGCGTAATTTTACAAATGAGAAACTCATCCGGTATATAGGGTACAATTTCTTTAAAAGTACCTTGGAAATCGTTTTGGACGAACATGCACCCGCACATACGTCCCTGCTTCAACAAACTCATCAATATGAGCAATCCTAAAAGTTTTTTGTGCCTCTCTCAGGGTTTTCCCTTTGATTGAAGATCTCTTTCTGAGGACTGACGGGTCGGTAACTTCTTTGTACAACTTGATCTCCTCTGGCGTGGCAGTTGAAGGAGGCTGTGGGCATACAAGGGCATAGAACACTGCTCCAAAATGAATAAGATCTGCGACGTACCTTCGAAGTTCAAGCATATTAATCAAATTAGACCATTGGCAGACCTACAATGAATCCTGTCGGATCAAGTGAACATGATGATATTTTGTAGTTACCATAGTAGGAAACGTGGAAAAAAGAACTTCTAGCTTAAGTAGTATTTCTCTTCCCCTTCGAATAAGGGTCCTCGTTTAAAAAACAGGCTTAAACTTTTAACTTTGTTGTCCCAATACCATTTATAATTATAATCTCGTTTTACTTTTCGAAACCATTTATCATTGTAATTTCTTTTTACTTTTCTACAATACCATCTCAAAAAGTAACTTGTTTTTCCAAAACTGTGTTACAATAATTACTTGAGATTCTGTATTGAAAAGTTGTGCATTACTTACGATATTATTTGATTTTATAACTTTCTTGTTTACAATAGACATTCTATTTCCGAAGCAATATGATAATAAGTACTTTTACCTTGTGTATTTACATAGCCTTGGAATTTCCAGTTTCAACTAGAAAAATGAGTTTTAGTACTTAGAATTTTTTTTTTCACATTTATCGAACATAATCCTTTTAATTCCAAGCAAATATATAATGTCGCAGATAAAATAGTTAAATAATATAAACATGACTTCTTAGCTAAAAACAAATTCAAATAACATATTTTATCAAGTTAATGTCACGTCGATTATAAATTTCTACTAATCTTATAGATCACATGTAATTTTTGTGCCTTAAGTTGAAATATCACACTGTATACTTCAATAATTTCAGGCTGGTCCATCAATTTCACGTTTGTATTATTGGTACAAGTTTACATTCATATAGAAAGGTATAAACAATATCCTTAACTTTTGCAAAATTGTTTTAACTGCGACCTTAGATAAATGATTTTAATAAACATTCACTTAAAACAATTCAAGTCCAAAAAAGAACACGACCATCTTAATACAAGTTTATACTATTCTGTTGGTAAGATAATGGCGAACCCATTCTATGAAAATCCTGTGATTGCCACTCTCCTAGACTAGATTTAATTAGCATGACAATAAAAAGGTAAAGGAACATAGCAACTTACAAAGGTGGAAGATTCAAAGCTCTGGTAATGAAGTCAAGAACAGGTCCCCCATCTTTAACAACTAAGTGCTCAATTCTTGGTAGAAAACTCTCAGCAGGGCATGGAAGCAAGCGACCATATTCTTCATGGCTGAAGAAAATATGAGTTTTGAGTATCAAAAAACTAGTTAGCTCAAAACTCTTCACAAATAAAAGTCCTTAACAAATGGCCAATTAGTTCCAAATCAAACATGTCCCAACAGAATAAGAGCGTCATGAAGAACTAGATGCTTATAATACATCCTTACATATATAAAAACATTTTACAGGGTTACAGAAATACAGGAAAGTACCAACACTTTCAGTCAAAGCCAGAAGTAGTGGCTCCAGGAAACTCATTTCATATTGATAAGATGGTACTCAGAAAATTTGGTTTAGTTACTACACCATTTCTGTGAAGAAATAACAACTTTAACTTGTTCTATGGTCTTAGAAATTAGAATTGTATCCATTCTCATATCTTACATTACAGCTCATCAGGGCCGGCCCTGGCCATAGGCCCAGGGGGCGACGTCCCAGGGCAGCACCTGGCCCAAGGGCATCAAAAATTTTAAAGCCCAATGTATTATATAGGTTCAGTTTCATTTGGGCCAAAAAAAAATTACCGTTAGTCCAGTCGGCAGTCCACGCATCCATCATCGACTCTTGCTTGCATCGCCTATGGCCTACCTCGCTCACAGCTAACTCACTCTCAATCGCAAACGGCAAGGGCAAACGCTCTCACCGACTCACTCTCAATCGCAATCGCAAACGCAAACAACATTCTCGCTCTCTCTCAGCCTGACTACTAGTGACTGCCTCTCTCGAGTTCGAGTCTCGACTATTGACTCAGACTCCGTCCCAACTAGCCGACTGCCATCGCCCGTCGCCCGTCGGTCTGCGGCTGCCTGCCGGCTGCCGGCGTCTCTACTCTCTCGCGACTCGTCGCTCTCTACGGGCTTGCGGCTCTGCGCCTCTGTCGCTCTCTCCGTCTCTCGTTGCTCTCTACTCTCTAGAAACAGACTCCTGAGTACTGCACCTACTGCTGTTGTTGTGACTTGTGAGGTGTGTGAAACTTAACTTAGAGTTAGGGTTATTAACTTATTTTATATTTTTATTACTTATTTACTTTACTTATTAAGTTATTTTATGTTTTAATTTTCTAATTCTTGATTGCAAAACATAATAATGAACAGAAGCTATGAATTTGGTCACTTTCACTTCCTCTTTAGAAATTAGGGCTGTTTACTCTTTAGAAATTAGGGCTGTGATTATGAAATTGATGCTTATGTTTGATTGTTTTCTCTTTTATCAATTTGTCCAGGTTGCTTAATCGGTCCACTTTCTTGGCAATTTCACAACCACGAACCACGAAGGACCAAAATCGAGGTGTTAACTTTCTATTCTTTATATGGTATCATTTGTTTAACAATTTAACTACTTAAGTTATGTTGCCTCGATCACAACCATCGGGTGCTCAAAATAGGAAAAGAAAGAAAAGGCAAGAAGAAATTGTTCAATCTTTGCAAGGATCTTTAAATAAGTTTATTGTTAGACAACCAAATGTTTCTGAAAATACTAGTGATAAAAATGAATATGCGTGTGATGCAAATGCTTGTGATGCAAATGCTTGTGATACAAATGCTTTTGATGCAAATGCTTTTGATGCAAATGCTTTTGATGCAAATGCTTGCGATGCAAATGCTTGCGATGCAAATGCTTGCGATGCAAATGCTTGCGATGCAAATGCTTGCGCTTCTAGTGATGTTCGTTTGAATATATTTGATCCAAGAATTTGGGATATGTTAAATTCTAAAATGAAATATTTGCTTGTTGAAAAAGGGCCTATTAGGGAAACTAACATCAATTTCCCTAGAGATAATATAGATAGACGCTTCTCTGATGAATTTTATGTTCGTAAGTTAGCAATGGTGATTGTCATGATAGAAAGTGGTTAGTTTATTCAAAAGAGCTAGATAAAGTCTTTTGTTTTTGTTGCAAACTTTTCAAAGAAGGCCGGTCAAAAAGCCAATTAGCAAGTGTTGTATTAAGTGATTGGAAACATCTTGGTCAACGATTAAGCGCTCATGAAAATAGCATTGAGCATATGACTAGCTTGGGAATTTGGTCCGAATTGCGATTGAGATTGAGTAAAAAATGAAACACTTGATAAAGAGCTACAAGATTTAATAAAAAAAGATATTGATCATTGGAAAGAAGTTTTGGTTAGAATAATTGTTGTTGTTAAATGTCTAGCAAAGAATAATATAGCTTTTTGTGGGAAAAATGAAAAACTTTTTGAAGAATCTAATGGTAACTTCTTGGGCTTAATTGAAATGATTGCTAAGTTTGATCCGGTTATAAAACAACACTTTCAGCGTATCAAAGAAAAAAAAAACTCATTATCATTATCTTAGCCACAAAATTCAAAATGAATTGATTGACATGATGGCATCTAATGTTAAGAGTGCAATCATTAAAAAGATCAAAGAGGCAAAATATTTTTCAGTTATTCTTGATTGTACTCTGGATGCAAGTCATCAAGAACAAATGACTTTGATTTTAAGATGTGTTGACATGTCTAGCTCTCCTATACAAGTAGAAGAGTTCTTTTTAGAGTTTTTGGTGGTAGAAGATACATCTAGTTTAGGACTTTTTAATGTATTACAAGATGTTTTGAAATCACTTGATTTGGATATCAATTAT